TTTGTCCTTACACAGATGAATTGCGACTCACTGTTGAATAGTTACATGATCTTGTAGTCCCTTGTTTATTCACCAGATGAATATATTTTGTATAAATGACCGTTATGCACCCAAACCAGAATAAAAGGAAAAACAAAGATTATGTATAAATAGCTTTTCTTCTTCGACAACAAACAAAACAATAACAAATCTATGTTCCTATATCCCTAAATTTGAAAAATATCTGTCTAGGGTTATTGCCTCTTGTGAACATCTCCATGGACGAGGACTCTCTCAAGAAATATGCGACCAGAGTAATCTCTTCTTCTTCTTACTCAGTTCTGTTTCTGTAGTAGAATTTCTGATTAGCTGTTTTATTATACTTTAGGGGAACGGTTTTTATGATCGTGTGGCTGCTACGAATGTCTTCCATGAGCAGAACTTAAGCCGGTAAATCTATGTTTCTTCTTTTTTTGGAGATTTTTGTACATGTCATAAGATTTGTTCTTGTGTAAAATTATTGCAGCTGCACTAGGGTTTCCGTTGAGGGATACGAGTGTAATCAGAGAAGCATTGGAAAAGCATTTCAGTCCATGTGGACGTATCTATCGTGTTGCGATTACCAGAGATCGTAAAAACGGCGATGCTGTTGAGAGGTTTGTGGCTTCTTTGCTTTGAAAATTTTCCTTAGCTCAATGTTTTAATGCTAGCTAGCTAACAAGTTTGTTTTTTTGTTACAGATGTGGTTTCATATATAATTTATCGAAGAAGGCGCGAAAAAGAAGGCGTTGGCACTTAGTGGAAGTGACATGGGAGGATGGAATGTACTTGTTAAGGCTTTACCCAAGTTAGTCTGTAAGTTTAGTACTGATCTTGTGGCTGCTCTGAGAGAAGCAGACTATCGATTCATGAGGTAAATTGATTTGATTGTTTTTTGGGAGATTTGTTATATATGTTGGATGTTTTTCGTTTGTTGACGATGATGATGATATTATGCAATCTGTTGCAGGAGCACTGAACTTTTCGCTTCGGGATATGACACTTTGCTTCCTGAGGACGATATCAAGAGTGCATTGATTAAACATTTCAGTTCATGTGGAGAGATCACAAATTTGCATATCAGAACAGTCGACTACCGAAACAATGTTCGTGTGTGATGTCTATATTCGGAGAAGGCATTGGCACTTAGTGGAAGTGACGTGGGAGGATGGAATGTAGTCGTTGAGCCCAGGCCGATACGGAAAAAATTCCCTATGCCTGACCCCTTTGGTCGTGTTTTTGGCTATACTGCCCCAGGTTTATACATTACCAGACCATAAATTTGTTCTTGATTCTTGATAACACTGTAAAACTTCTCACTAATATCAGTTGGTTTATTTTAGATTGTAGGTGAGATCACTGGGGAGTAGAAGG